AAAGAGAATTCAGTAAACACTCTAGAATGAAAGCTGTGTATGTCCCAGCAACAGTGGCTTAATACATGCCCGGAACATAAACACACACACACTGAAGGAGGATGCTAGAAGTAACGCTGGGACATGATGCTTAATTTCTAAAACGCTGTCCTTTCTTACCCACATTCTATGCACTCCTTGACGGCAGACCAAACTACTTCTCCTCTGATGCTCTCCCCGGTCCTGCCCTGGCCATGACGTCAGCCCTCACTGCAGAGGGCCTCCCACTCTTGGGCTCCAGTGTGGAGAACCTAGTCCCTCTACCACATTTTAAGGGGCTTAAGGAATTTTCTGTCTCCACAGGCCCTAACATAATGCTTTATGTATTACGGGGGCTTGGTATTTGTTGAATGAATGCCTAAAGAGCGGCTTTAGGTGAAGCCAGGCTCTCTACTGTCATGTCAGTGGTCCCGTTACAGGCTGCCGTAAGCACAGATGTCCTTTCCTCTGTATTTAAGAAACTGAAAACACGTGCCATGGTGTTGGGCTTCCTGCGCTTGGCATACTCTGTGAGGATCTCTCAGGGAGAAGGACTGCACTCACATTTATGGGATTGGATACACTTTACACACACAACGGCTTAGGATTTCAGACTGTGAAAGCCAAAGTAACAATGTGGGCCTGGGGGTGATGCTCACTTTCTCCAAGGTACACTGGGTTTGGAATGCTTAGCTACCAAACAGAACAGTGCTTTCTTTTCCAAGAAACACAAAATACTTAATTGAATACATACTTTAAAAAGGAGGAAAAACTCACTTAGAAACGATCTATTTCATTCCTGTGACAGGATTTTTAAATGTGTTCCAGGATTTGGCCCTATAGCTCTTCATTTCTTATTCTAAAGTGATATTAATGTTTTAATTTATGACAGTCACATGCACAGTGACCCACAGGTTGGACCCCTCCCCCCCACCCTGGCCTGAATTTCCTACTGAAGCTGCTGAGGGAGTTTATAACTGAGTGCTGTGGTGCTTTCTAAAGTAGACTCCTCATCAAGCAGCTAACGCAGGACGCGACCGAGCAGAAACAATACAATACCCATGTGCTCTAGGGAGGGAAACACCAACTATTTTCCTAAGATGACTAGAGGAAGAAGTCGGATCCAACTGTCAGGCAGAAACAGGTAATTTTATCTACACCTCATACCTGAAGTCAACTAACTTCAAAGAAAATTCCAAACACAAAACAAAACAAAAGAACCCCCCCCCCCCCCGTAGGTTTCCCTTTGGTTCTGATTTTGGAGCAGAATATGCATGAAGGACTCTGAGCCCAGGGGATGGTTTGGCTGGCTCTATAGTTTCACAGAGGGTTCTGGGGACAATTTGGATGATGTGGTTTGCTCTTCAATATCACAGCATATTTCTTTGTGAATGAAACCACATGGAAAACTTGATGTGATTTAAAAAAAAAAAAAAACAGCAGGGGGTTGCCAATTGCCCTAATTGTAAGAGAGGTACCTGATCAGAATACCAGTGTGCATGAGATAGAAGAGACCCCCAAGAAGCTCATGGCAAATCACAGTGAGGCTCTGGATGGCTCCCATTTCAATTCCATCCCTCCAATGTTTTTTTTTTTTTTTTTTTAATAACGAATTAACGGTCTAATGGTTGCAAAGCCGCAACAAGGTTGATGGGGCAAGTTGACAACAACAAGGTTGATGGGGCAAATATTCCTTTCAGTACTCCAGAGCCTTCAAAATTTCCCCCTCTAGATCAAGCTACCACTAGACGTGTGTGCCTTCACATGAAGGTCAGGAGACCTGCTCCATGCTCGTGGGATGAGAGACAGAGCTACCCAGCTCCTCCCACCCATCAGGTCTAGGATTCTCGATGGCAACATCACGTCGGCCTGGGCTCACAATTTCTTCCTTTCGAGGGTCTCCAGGATGAAACTTTAACCTGTTTTTGAGGGAGTTGGGCAACTGAGGATTCAATGACCGTCTGCCTCTCTAACAAGGGGAACAATTCGATCACCCTGGTTACCGAAGATAAAAGAGAATGCTGGAGCACTTCCTTTCAGAGAAATCAGAAATCAACTATGACCTTTCGAGTTTAGAAATATTTTTCTATTGCATTTGTACATTTCCTTGTAATGAAACTCTGACCTGGGGAATGGGTTTCAGTTACTGCATCTGAATGGGAGAAAAGAAATGGAAGACTGTGGGCTGCTGCTTTTTCTTTTTTTCTTTCTTCTTCTTCTTCTTTTTTTTTTTTTTTTTAAAAGCTCAGGCTTTATGTTACTGTCACTGGATTTAGCTGTTGCAGCTTTTAAGGCTAACCATGGCTGCAATGTAGTGCAAGAAGGAAGAAGAGTGGAAATTAATTTAGCTATCCATTTGTCAAGATTCAGTCTGGAAGATTTCTTAGGAACCAATCTAAATCTCAGGGATAGCCTGGACCTTTAAAACGGAACACAGGATCATTCAGCTCCATAACCTTTAATCTGTTTGAAGTAAGAAGCAAATGTTAAAATCCACGAGTGTACTTTCTAGGCAAGATAAATATATGGAAGACTGCTTGTTAAGACACAGCAAGCCTAGAAGATCATATCCTACAATGTTGCTTTAGTGGCAATTTTACTTTAACTACTCTTGGGTGTGCCAGTGAGAATCTGGGTGTTCACGGCCACAGATGCCTTCTGTGTGTGGACAGGGTTCAAGTGCTGGTGCTGAAAGGCTACTGTGCATCTGGGAGCTCATCGTACATCACCTGGAGCCTGGAGGCCGGGAGCAGAGAGACAGAAGCCAAGACAAGCCCCTATTTAAAGGCACCTTCGATATGGACAGAAATACAGCATTGTTTGTTTTGAAAATTTCCTCTTAAATGGAGTCTCTGTGGTTGGGACAGTGATAACAGTGAGTTGTAGCTGTCTGAGGACACAAAAGCTTTCGGTGGGGGTGAAGGCTGGAAGCTGTGAGCGGAGGTGCCTCTGCTGTGTTGCAGAGAGTGAGGGGGGAGGAGTTCAGGGGGTGCTACGTAAGGTCTTAAAAACAAAACAACACAAAACAAAAACCAGCCTGAGCTAGTGAGAGGCCAGCCACAGATGAAAAATATTCCATGTTATGGAGAAATGGGGTGTTTCTACAGAGCGAGAAAGGCCTCCCCTGCCTTAAAATATAGACCTAGCTAGCCTACAGCCACCGAGACGGAACCCTCTAGAATGAGAGGTAGTAAGGGCTGGCTCATCCCTGGGCCCCTTCTGCAAAGACGAACTGACTACCTGCAAAGGGCAGCGGGGGGATGGAGGTGTAATTCACATGGACACCCAAAGGGCCATTTACAGGAAATTTCATGGAAACCTACTATTGAGAGCTCAAGCCTAATTCAGTTTACAACTGGATAAGCAGCAAGAAATCATGAAATGTAAAAACCTAGCTCCTGGTACGCAAAGTGGAGAGCATGGCTGACCTGGAATCAGGTACGAAGGAGCATCTTCGCTGTGCTTAGCACTGAGGCAGAAAGTGGCAGGAGTCTGCGCACTACGCTAACAAGCTTTTACTTAAGCAGCAGAAGGAACTAGCAGAACTGAAAACAGAAATACACACAGACGAGGATTTAGGAAGCAGCCTGGATGGAGCGGAGTTTAGAGTGAGACACAATAGCCAATTGATGGATTTTCAGAAGACCTTAAGTGCAGGCACTGATGTTTTCATAAACAGCGGTCGGAAAAATCCTCACTAGTGGCTTTTTCTAAGGTTCTCTTTGCCCCACTGTGATGGGTTAGAAAGGTGAAGAAAACGGAGACTAGGGGATCTACTGTCCTATTTCATAAACCTCCTCTTCCACGGAACACTCTGGATGTTCGTCATGCCTGTCTCACCGACTCCTGTGAAAACCAAGAACGTCTCCAGAAAGTCAATGTAAAGGACAGGTGCCCTATCTAGGGCGATAAAGAGGGTCTACACACAAAGAATGATGAATTATATATTCAGTGTTTTAAAAGAAGTCCTGTATCCTGGGGTGTGGAGCTCAGAGAGATCTTGCAGTCTCCTGGGATAAGCTAATGAAGCGGGAAAGTTATCTTTTAAAGAAAATTGTTTTTTTTTTCCTCATGGAATGATTACTTTTACATGTTCTGGGGTCGGAACCTGTACACAGTGGTTGGGGAAGGCCTTACCTAAGGAAATCCTGCACGTCTAGTAGACATGGTACAACCATAACCTTTTCCCAGGCAGAGGACGCTCCAAGGCTCCCAGGCAAGCAACATCAAACGGTATGAGGGCCACTGGGTACCAGCAAGGGGATGGATGGCATCCCTCCTCCCTCAGTGATAGAAATCAGAGACAGTGAAACTCATTCTGAAGAAGAGTTTCAGACAGTCCAAAAAAGATAAAGCCACAGAGTTACAACTGTTGTGGCTGTCTCTTCCACACCTCCAATGTTTAACTGACGGCAGCAGGGGGTACATGAGTGCCCAGCACGGAGAAGACAGGACTCTCTCTGACCTCCTGACCCCGGCAACACACACAGGTAGTAACACTCTGGGTACTCTCTGGGGCAGGAAGAATGGCGATGCCTTTCGAAGCATGGCCCACCTGGGCCTGTTAAAGGGTATGCATTTTCCTTTGTATGAATTAAGATGGAATTAGGACGAGAAGATCCAAAGCCAGAATACTTACCATTTCATCAACGTGGCTAAGCCTAAGCTACCGGCATGTTCTCTAATAGCCAGGCGGCCATTTTCCCTAGCATTCTGCTTTGAACAGTGATGCTTAAAAAAGAACTCTCTTAAGCATAAGCTGCAAAATATCTGATCTCCTGGTTAAGTGCCTGGATGTTCAAAGATTTCCTGAGGTCCTTAAGATTCAACTTAAGAACAAGGTATCTAATGTGCCTGAAGCTCCAAAATGAAGGAATGATTACATTCCAAGGATTTCAAGGGAACTTCTCGGTGTCTTTGCATACATACCAGAAAGACAATATACATTCAGGACATTTTCAGTGGTCATGAAGGTACCGTACCTGTGATGATGGTAAGGATGGTGGTGGTGGTGGTGGTGGTGGTGGTGGTGGTTGTTGTGGGAGGAGGGATAGTTGTGGGGGGATCTGGATAAAAAAAAAAAGGAAAATCAAACCCACAATGCTGAACACAACAATGATCAGTAATGACAAAACAAAGGCATGAGGACATTGAGATGTTTGTTTGATGACAACCCCCCCCCGAAACCAAGAGCTTCCCCGCCACCCCCCTTCGCCCCCTGCCGAAGATCTGTGTCTTGTAATCATAACCCAAAACCTTAGCTGGAAAAGCTAAGAAAAGAAGAAAAGAGGTTTGTATTAATGAAGCGAAGTAGGGATGAGGAGATGTGAAGGAGAGAAGAGGGGGGAAGTCAAATTAGGACACCCCCCCCCCAATCTGATTTCAAAGGTGAGGGTAAACCAGCTCTGCGCCCGAGAGGCATTTTGTTTTATGATTTTTCAGATGGGAGGAAGGAGGGAGGAGAGGACGCTGCTCCAGCGAAAGGGCTGCTCTCGGCCAAGGATGAGTGTGCTCTTGCATCCCTGCTCTCCATGACGGGTAACTTCATTATTCCCCATCAATACATCCCAGCGGGAGGTAAAACTACTTCTATGCTTGTAATAAATACAAAGAAGAGAGAATGTCACCACTAAATATCAAGTTCCAGGCGTGTGAGATTTTACTGAGATTTTATTTTTTTAAAAGTCAATAAATTTTACAACTTATAAATATTAATACGTCAGTTGCCTTTGCTCACGTTAAAAGCCTGACCTAAGTGGATGGTGGTGGTAAGACCAAAAGCCCGCCTTCCATCTTGTAAACAAGAGGACGAAATATAAACGGGGCTTGACCCTCCAAGCCAGGAATCCCAGAGGGAACCCTCGGTCAGATGTTTGATATACTGTATATTCTTCTATCATCTCAGGAATTATTTGGGGGACAAGGGAAGGGCAAATATGAAAGAGAAAAAAAGAAAATCCTGAGCCCAAATGATCAAACTGAATGTGTTAAATTGTCAGCAAGACTTTGAACCAAGCAATCATCCTGCTAAAATAGAGCATAAGACGATTTGAAGGCTTTTGATTTTAAATTTTATCTAAAGCACGTCAACTTTTTCTCCCTGACACATCTGGTGTCCTTTTATCTCCAAGTGAGCTCTCAGACTGTCTAATTAATACATCAAAACTTTAATTATATACTGCACCTTTATTGGCTTTGGTACAACTTCCTGAAAGTTTATGACAACACTATTTTGGTGCCTGGTTTTAAGGTTTGCTTGAGATGATTCCTACTATTGATCAGTAATCCGAGGTTTTAATTTTCCTAGCCAGCTTCTCTCACGCATGCACAGTGTATGAATGTGATGGGGAAGAATCAGCAGCAAATTGTTCTGTCTTACGGGAGACTGTGCTCGTTTAAGTTGTGGACACGAGCAATTTAAAGCAGCCTCACAAAGGAGCTCAAAAAGGAATTCAAACAAAAACAACAAAAATTAGGAAAACAAAACAAAAAACCCCCCAAAACCACACACACACAAAAACCCCACTGTCTGCCAAGAAGCAGAAATGATTAAATAAGTAATTTCAAACCACCTTTTTAGACAAACAGGCAGTGTGTTCAGTCTTGCTTCCTGGCCACTTTCTCATGGAGGCCCCAGGTGAGGAAGCAGTCTGGAACCTGGCAGATCACATGGCTGCACCCACACCTTGCCACAGGCACTGGGACAGACACAGCCGAGAGAGGGGCAAGGGCCCCCGAGTCAAGCTCTGAAGGCATCCTGTGCCCTCTCCTACCCAACTCAACTGTACCCAGAGAGGTGCCTGCTGCCCGGCATGTGGGCAGCTAATGTGGTTTCTCTGTTCTGGTTCAATTACAATATTTATCACTGGAAAGGAACATCTGTGCCTGGGAGACTTCCCCTGATACACTCTAATGCTATTTCTGTACCTATCTCTCAGAGTATTGGCACAAAATGTGTGATATCCACAATGCAATCAAAGGGGAATGGAAGGTCCATTTTTGAAATATGATTTGAAAATACGATTATGAACAAGGGATGGACCAGACTAACAAGGGCAGAGACTTCAGAAAAAAGGTCACTGTTCCCTTTCGTTTTTTGAAAATCACACACTTTCAATTATTTTCATCACTACCGGGGTAACTGTTGTCCTTCACATCTGGCTCAAGTGACCTGAATGAATTAGACTCTGTTAACAGGTATAACCTCGTTGCTCAGATCATTTCTAGCAATAAGAGCAACGTGAGGCCACTATTTAAGAAAATACAGAGTTGGAGCTAATGAGCAGTGTTTGACACACAGAGGCTCAAAGAACAAAATCAACTGGGGCTCAGGGCACTAACCAGCTAGATTCTCCAAGTCTAGGAGTTATTTCCAGAGAATTAAACATTTTAAAGGCACGTTAACACTTGCTTCATAAAGTACTTTTAAAAAACATGACTATAGTAATATAATAAATCACCTTTGAAAAGAAAATCTACTCGCCATCCTCTCAAATTGCTAGAATATTTTATTAACGGACGAGCAACACCTCAGGCTGGCCTTCTAGCTGCCATTCCAGACGGTGTTACCGACACAGCCTAAGGGAGGCAGGTAGAATCCTGTACATCTAGGTGATCCCCGGACGAGGGTAAGTATGCCATTCTGGGTTGGGGAGGTGTGCGTGTGTGTGTGTGTGTGTGTGTTTGTTGGAACAGGTAGGTCGCTATGTTTCAGCGAGTGAAATCTAAAACAGTCTCAGGTGGGAGGGAACTGTCCTACTGGGAAGCAGTGAGAATTAGAGGCCCTACAAAGTAAAACAAAAATGTCCCTGTAGACTCGGCAGTCAGAAGTGTCATGGCTCGGAAACATAGTAAGCCCGTGACCTTGGGCAGCTTAGGTGACCTTTCTAAGCTTCATCTGTCAACCGTGCCACGGGACGAGGATAATGCGTACGCCCTGGGGTTACTGGGGAGATTCGAGGTGCTCATGCATGCGCAACATTGGGACACAGTGAGCACTTCACAAACGCTAGCCGTAAGCTGGCATCCCAAAGGTTTCAAAGACATCTGTGTCCATCAAATCCACAAAGTTTCTTGTCTTGAGAGGTGGCAACAGGAGGGATGATAAACCAGAGTTGTTCTCCCAGATAACTTAGTCTTCTGGATCAAGGCAGCATACACTAGACTGGTGGGAATTTGCTGCTGCTGTTACCCACCGCGAACCATCCATCAGCAATGGAGGGGGCTCACGGGAGGCTCAAGCCCTCACATACAGAGAGAGATTTACCTTCCAGCCCCTGACATCAGTGGACCGTGAACAGTCTGAGGCACAGGGTAGCTGTGTAATGTCAGCTGAAAAGGGGGCCCAGGGCACCCCCTGGCACCTACACGGGACTACTGTCCCCTTTGCTGGGATCTCCTCAACCACTGGGGAGAATTAATGCTCTTACATGTGTGGAGCACAGACCACATGGGTAACGTATGCAGAAAACACATCTCAGAAGTTTACAAATCAGGTGAGTAGATGTGATCCCATAATTCTGCATTACGTTAAAAGGGGGGGAAAAACCCCTAAAACCTCAGGATTAGATCATGAGGATTATATTTGAATATCCAAATAGATATGGTGTAAAACATGCTTCTATGTCCTCAAAAAGACACCAACTCCTGTTTTCTTCAAAAGGAAAGTGGCCAGGTTCTAAGGCATAATGGTGTCAATATTCCATAGGTATGGTTATATGTGTGCCAGGTGTATATTCACATACACTTATACTTGGATAATTTACAGGGCTAAGAGGAAGAAAGAAAGGTGCACACATATCCATATATTTATAAGATACTGAAATTTTCAGACCTGTGGTTACTCATTCCATGTCATGTCAGTTGATGACTATGCTTCCTGGTATAAAACCAACCTAGAGACTTCGACTGGACAGAAGAGACTCAGTCTGTCATCCTAAGGCTAGAGAGGCAGCGCACACTCCTCAACTAAATAGAGACTATTCACCAGATGCAAAACTGACATTAAGATATAAATGGGAAAAAGTCTATAATGCCTGACACGTAGTAGATGCTCAATAAATATTTGCTTGTTAGAGAATGCGATTCATGATAATATATGCTTTAATAGTCCTGTGAAAAGATATTAAGAAAACAGACAAATTTAAAAATAAATGCATTCATGTCTAAAGTAGTAGCCAGTGGTGGTTTATGTAGCTACCAAGGACCCTACATTTTTTCACCAAGTATTTACCGGCTTGCAACATCTTCGGGAATGTAATAGCTTCATGGTGAAAACAGGATACTTCTGTTCATCAAAGCGGGAGAGAAGGTAGCTGAGGTATCACAGGAAAATACCACTGGGAATAAACTTTCTGAGCTAAATAGCCATTAATTGGTAAGGCTGAATTTTGCAGTCATTATTTCTAACATCATCTCCATTGCTCGTGCCTGAGGACATAGCTCGCCTGCTCAGCATGACCAGGGACTGTGATCTAGCGGGAAATCCCCACGATTAGAGGGAGAGAAGAGAAGTCACTGCTCTCCCAGGTGGAGACACTGGGGTCTACCTCAGGCCAGGCTTCTTTAAGTTCTTGAAGAAAACAAACGTGCTTTCGGTTTTCAACTGGACCAAAAGCTCTGGGAGGGGATCACAAGCGGCAGGTACAAGTAAATGTGTCTGGTAGAAGACCGGTTTAGCTTTCCACGTACCGTAAACATACAGCATATAATCCGAGTGAGCTTTCCCCACTATGTTAGAGGCTTCACAGCGGTATGTACCATTATCTGTTTTGTTTAGGTTATTGATGAACAGGTTGGGCCCGGACAGGACGGCGTGCTGAGGCATTTCGTCATCGACTCTAACCCAGGTCACCATCACCGGCCTGCAGAGGAAAGAGGATGAACACAGCCGGCTTCATTATCTTCCACCAAGACGTGGGTGTCAGCTTCCCACCCACGCATTACAGGAGTCACATGTAGGGTGACACGATTAAGGACATGTTTTAAGTTCATAAAATTACAGCTGTGAAGTCCCCCCTGAGTCTGTTTGGAATAGACTTAAAAAAAAAAAAAAAACCAAAACATTATCAGGTGTTGAAAAACTTTCAACAGACCATAAGCAGGAGTCTCATTATTTCCAATTCATCTTTAACAAATCAGTAAATAAACCAATGCACCCTATTTTTATGCCCTGCTGTGTGGTTTCACACCGATTCAAACAGGACAGAGCTCACCCATCGTTAATCATCTCATTAATTAGGGGGAAAACAGCAAATTCTTGGCTAGTGATACATGCATTACTCTGATGGTTACTAATACACCAAGACTCTTGCTTTAGAAGCTGCTTGTGATAAGCCGCTTGTGATATTTAAAGGGATTTCAAGTTTCACACACACACACAAAAAAAACCCAGACTTTTACATCTGAATGCTGCTTTCTTTTGACCTCTGCTGTTGGAAAAACCACCTCTGTTCATTCGGGAAACGTGCAATCATTTCTTTTCCCCTTAACCCCTACCCACAACCTGACTCCCCCAACCCAGTCCACCTCATCTATGTGTTCCTCTGCAAAATGCCTTGCTTTGCTGGCTCTCCAAGTCCCACATGCTGTCACCCTCTCCCTCTCGTGTGCACCTGCAAGCCCTGCGGCTCAAGGGCAAGGCTTCTGGGTCCGGGTCACTCACTGAGGGGCACATCTCCACATGGGCTCCTTATGGCACTTGCTCAGAGGCACGTTTGTTTTAAAGTACCACGTTTGTGTCCATCAGGGAAAAGCAAATTTCACAAGATGCTCCAGAGCCGAAATCGCACACGCACCAAGTATCTTTCAAACTCACGGAATCTAAGACTCACATTCTCCAAGGCGGCTCCCTCAACCTCCTGTGACATCGGGGCCATGTGGATGATTGTGCCTGAAACTCTCATTTTAAAGGAAGGGCAGCAGAGACGCGGGCAGAGAAGTAACTTCCTGTCGGTCCCCACAGCTACTTCCAGGAGCGGCGACAGGACCAAAGACCCGTTGCTTAATGATGAGCGAACACCCAAGTTAGCTCTGTCGAGTAGCATTCCAATTTTCAAATGGGATGTGAAGTTACAATTTTTCTTTAATTACACATGGGTTTGTCATCACAACCCAGTAAATTATTTAAAAATTAGTCCTGCATATGTGCTCCTTGCAGGCAATGGCAAATGGGTCTGCCTAGCAATCAGATCTAATGTCCTGCTGCTTGACAGCTGAAACAATCAGTGGGGGTAAGTGCTGAGAATATTCACAACATTTAATGGCAAGTTAAATTACCATTTTTATTGTATGCAATTTCTTGAGAAAATAAATAGGTAATATGCTAGAAGGGATCGCAGCATAGTGCGTGCTTGCTCCCACAACCATATACCCGTTCCGACCTGAGAGGAACAGATACCTTCTCTGGCATAAATGTCCTGAAGGAAACATGTAATTTACTGTCCCCATGGCACATTCAATTGAACACAGTACCTTCTTTACGGGAAAAAACCCACAGAAACAAAAGAGAGTTTAGCAAAGCCATATACTGTAAATGTGGTTAATATGGCCGAATATAGGTATTGCAAGTGGCGAGAGGCCTGGGAGAATTTCTTTTTCTCCAACGGATTTTTTTTTTTCTTTTTTTTGAGGCAAGCAAGGTAAGCCACTAACCAGGGCATAGTCCAAACAGTTGACAGAAAGAAAGATCTGCATTTTTTGCCGTGTTCCAAGGAGAAAAAGATCGTTCTGCCAAAGCTTGAAGGGTTTCAAACCAAGTAACTTGGGAACACCAGAGGAAAAGCCAGACAGAACCTAGACCGCCTCCTACTTCCTGAAGGTCATCTTTAAAGCTGCACATGGCGTGAGGACAGACAGAAGCGGATTCCAGTCCAAAGAGAGGAAAGCCCGACACAGGGAGGGGTGAAGCGGGGGAGAGCGGATGGCCGCCTCCGTCGGGCTCCCCGGTCTCTAGTCAGAGATCATGCCTTAGTGGTAATGGGGACAGTGCTTTCCAGAGATTTCGGGGAAGCTTCCTTAAGATGCTCAGAGCATGAAAATTGTGATAGTCAGGCTGGTTAATAAAAACTCTGAGGGAAAAAAAATCATACCACGGGGACAGCAGAGGGAGCTCAATGCTGTTTTGTTTTGTTTTGCTGGGGACCGCTCAAAGTTTGAGGGCTTATTATCTTGACACTGACTTTTTCCATTTTAGGATTCCGTGGATTGTTTTTTCTGTAAGAAACGGTTAAAGACAATCTTCACTCTCCTAGAAAGAGGAGATTCTCTCCTCTCCCCATGCAAAACTGGATGGACGTCTAAAGTGGCCCCACTATATGGCTTTTTTGCTATATTAGTGATGATATACAGCAGTTTCCCTAATTCACTTTCATTCATTCAGGAGCGAAGCAGCTTCCTTGTACTTTTCCATAAAATAAGAGCGTTAGTAGGTTCTTTCTCTTCTGCAATGGCATACATACATTCCTTGAGAAAAAGCTCTGGGACCATTCCTTACTAACAAAAATATTTCTAGGAGTCACTTTTCTTTGAGGGAAGGAGAAGCAAAATTAAAGGTAGGGCAAATTCATTTCCCAACGGCTGGCCCTAATCACAGCGGCTTAATTTAAGTCTGAAAACCATCTTTCCAGCAGCTTAAGACATTAACACAGAAGGTAGCAGATTTATCATTAGATTGTGGGCATACTAAAAATTATTAGGATTATTTTTTGTGAGAGAAGATAGTTCTGACAATCATGTTGATGATAATAAAATAGAATTAGCTGAGATTTCAATCTTAGCTGGCATTTCATTTTTCTCCCAATCCTGACCATTAAGAACCAACCGCAGGTATTCATTCCCCTTTTCACTGAATATTCCTCAGTGCTTGAAATATCTTTCATCCTTTATAGCAGGAGACAGGTGACAGGCTGCTGACTTGTGAACGCACATTTCCGTGTTGTGACATTTACTGCTCATGACCCTTTGCCAACCTTGGCCTTCAGAACTTACTGGGGCTTCCCGATGGCTTCGCATGTTAACTCGAGCGCATCCCCTTCCCGGGTTAGGCCTTGTAGAGGGTAAGTCATCTGAATATGCACTTGAGGCTTATCTGTGTGACAACAACACAAAGTATCATGTTTAGCAAATGATATCAGGCAAAAAATCAGACTTGCATGCTGCCACAAACCCCATACCACCAGCACTCCCTCTCTCCCCATCCTCATGCCTTCACTAACATCCTCCTAATTAGTTAGTAATCCTGGCATTTGCTCAAATTAAATTGACTAATAACTCCAAGGAGTGAACGCGAACAGATAAGAGATTCATAAGCCAACTGTGCCACATCAAACATTTCCTGTGAAATACATTTTGTTACATTGAAGTTTATCTCCAAACTCACTCAAGCTAAAGGAAACTCATTTGCCTTCATGCTGAGGTGAAGCCACAGATATTTGTGGTGCTCAGAATTGATACATTTTATCATATATCATATATTACTATGTGACAATATGTTGTGACAATGCATATTAATAAGTTTGCTTCTTCCACGCTCTAGATTTCAAATGGGAAAGGCTACACTTCTGAATTCCACTCAAATGGCTTTGAGAATAAAGAAATGGGAGGTTCTGGTGGTCCCAACGAAACTCTTTGATGTCTCAATGTCTATACATGAGAAGGAAGCGGACAGGTACTGAGGGCCTGGCTCTTGGCAGGAACTATCATTGGTGGGGGAATAAGCCCAGTTTTAGGGATCAGAACACTGATACTCAGGATGAAGTAGCCAGTCCAAGGTCACGGAGATAACAAGAGGCAGCCCTGCGAATGTTGGGATTTCTGGTTCAAAAGTGTATTTCCCAGTGGCAATCCATAATTAAAACCAAGTATAGCTTCTGAAGGCAGTCAAGTACTTAGCCAAGTGACACAGGTGTTCTTATTATCCACTGGCTACTTAAAGCCCGTGTTTGGAGTTTGCGGGGGGTTTGGGTCCAAGGAATGAATGGTGGGAGGTGTGGGGCATAGGGAAGGAACCAGAAGGGGTTGGGATTAGCTTAGAAACACATACAAATACATTTACAAATAAAACCTGAACGGGGTTGGGAGACTCTTTTTTTTCCCTCTGCTGAACTAACAAGCTATTAATCCCTAAATCAGTTTTCTCATTTAATGCAGTGGCTCTATAAACGTGTATTTTTGGAAACGTACCCAAGAGTAACAAATGTGAGAGGGCAAGACATCACTTGGCTGAAAGGTCAAAACAATTTCCATAACTTTACTTTCTCAGACAATCACACCACCTAAACAACAGCCCCTTGGCCTTTTACAAGCAGTGCTTAGCTCATTAACATTCATCCTATGGACTGAGAAGGAAATCAGAAATATGGCAGGGCTCAACTGATCTCAACCTGTACGCGGCTAAGACAAGCTACACGAGGGGGTCCTCTCGGGGGACAGCTGCCTTCCAGACACAGTGGTTCAGTCTTGCTCTCACCACAGAACTTTCTGTCTCTGAAAACCGTGTGGCATTCAAAACCTTTCAGGAGCGTCTTCTTGTCCACCCGTGTGCACTGCACGCTGTGAATGGGTAACCCTTGCTGGGAAGCTAAGCCAGTTGCCCAAGGGGCGTTAAGTTAACAGGCCTGAAAGCTCCAGCTGACCCTTGCAAAGTAACACGGTTCTATTCTTGGACTTGCTGAAAAGGGAACGTTCGAGAGCAAAATGGCACGGAGGTGTCCAGGGACTGGTCACTGGGTTGGGAAAGTCGTCACTAACGAGACGCAGAAACAGACAAGATAAATGTGATGACCTTGAATGAGGACTGGCTTGCTAGGGAGAAGCAAGAGCTGTGGGCCACCCTCCTCGGAGAGCTCTGGATATAGCTTACGCTAAATACAACCACTGGGTGACATAGGCGAGTCTATTATTTTTGGTGGTATAACACATCAACACAGAGCTGGCTGGTGAAGTTTATTACAAACACAAGATACAAATAAATAAATTAAATAACTAAGTAAGTAAGTAAGTAAAGCAAGCAACGGGAGAAGGTTATGTTACTAAAAACACTGACAGCCAGACCCGCTCCCTTAAATTTCACATTCAGAAACAGGAGCACTTAATGGAGTTCCTGGTCAGGAAACCTCTGTCATTCTTACCTAGGAACCATTCTGGGTGAGGCTAAATTTAAAGCCCGAGATCTGGGCTGAAATGTAACATTTGCTTATAGGTTAATCTCTGATCCACGGAAGGACTACGTTTTCCATGCTCTGCTGACTTCCGCCCATTAATTACGGAGAAGCAGGATGCCTGCTGGCCTATGTGGAAGGTTTTCTCGTTTTTTCCCCCCCCTTGTGTAATTTACAAGCAAACAGAGAGGGTATATTTTTCAGCACAGTGCACTAAGGGTTTTACGTGCTCAACTTCCATTAATAATAAAGAGAGTGTTGAAAATCTAATCCGCTCTTGCCTCTCTTCAGTACCACAGACTTATAGTTAAATGCTTTTTTTATGTTACTAATGGCTGTTTCCCAGTTGCCAATTACTCACAGAAATTAGGAAGAGCAAGCTAAGGATCTGCTGTACCTGGAACTTATATTTAAAAAAGAAATCCTACTAAGCCATAGAAAATGCACCTTCAATTTTGATAACAGATTTTCCCAATTTACTCCTCAGGTTCCTGGAGAAACATCTACCATCTACTTACGGGTACATCTGCCACAGTTACCTTAATAGCTGGCTGAAAAGGTAAACATTAATCTTGTTTGTATTATACAGAAAAATGTCCTCCTCTATTGACACATGCAGTATTTATATGCATATTATCTGACTGGGGGGGGCAGCTGAGCCATCTTCATACCCAGCCTACAAACCACACAGGCGATCTATGTGCCAAGATCCATCCCCTTCTTTTGCCCTGAAGGAGGAACTCATCTATGCTCAACAGGTGGACCAGACACCCTGGGATTCCACTGGCACCTCTAGAACTCAGGGAGGTTAAATTTTCCCAGGAAGATCCTGACTACAATGTGAGTATGTCAAAATCCTGCACAATCCAGATGGCTGACTGAATAGCCCAAAGCTCATCATTTATATTTTAATTATGTTCATAAATCAAACGTTATAACCCACCAAAGCTTTTCTGAAATAGACCCAGACTCTAAGATTTATTTTTAAGTAATGAGGTAAGGCCCAGTACATTTTCTGGGTGATCATTTTACGCCTCAGTTGGTGTTGTAAGGCACAAGGCTACAAGCCAGATGACACTTTCTACCCAAGTGCCATAACTGCCTAGAAATGTATCGCTCAGAATGGCTTAATGTCATTATAAAATGGAACTGCTATATAAAAATAAGAAAAATAGTTAGGTCTGTGCACTTATGGAAAATTACAGTTATAGAGATGGCATCACCAACAGCCAATCAATTAGGTGGAGGGACCTGAGGTTTTCATAATACCCTGTAGTTTTTTTAAAAACCCTATAAAAGACAGTTAGCAAGACTCTTAGAGCAGACAAAATTCATTCATTAGTCAAAGTCACACAGAGGGTTAAATGCCAGGAGGCTTTGGGTCACACTGCAGGAGCAACCAATTAAAAAAATAATATTAGAAAGACATTCCAATTTGATGAGACTTTCTTTAAATGTACTTTGCTCTCTCTATAAAGGGAAAAATATATATAAAAGGAAACTCTTAAAGAGGTTAAGAATGGCTTGCTGGCGGATTACAATTGATTTCATGCCAGTCTGACCTTGCACCACGTTCTATGATCTTTCCAGAAGATGAAGCTCGAGACTCTGTAACCTGTATTCACTTTCCTACGTAAATGAAAAGTCATTGTCTCCTTCTCTCTAGATCACAACACGAATGTAGCAGGTTTTCAAAATTATTTATTAAAAAATATAATAAATAAAAGGGTACTTTGCAGTTTCCTTTTACCTGGGATGTCATCCTTCCCATGTACCAAGTAAGAGTACATCTGAGGCATGAGGCAGATGCCTGATACCCCAGCACGAGACTCATTACCACAGGGGCTCCTGACACCCCCCACCCCAAGAATTTCTAAATCAGGGAATGTAGGCATCCAGTGTCCTTTGATGCACTAACTGCAACCAGGCCCAAGGGCTTGGGTGCAAATTTGCTCCTGCGACTGCATTCGGGACACAGGCTCTTCATGGCCCTTACTTAGATTTCGTCCAATTTCCGAAGATCCATGAGAGCGGGACCGGATGCCTGCAGAGCAGATGCTAATGGTCTCAGGGCCTCGACCAGGGAGAACTCAAGGGCAGCAAGTGCCCAGACGTATCAGAATGGCTGGGAGAAGTCTGGGTCAGTGCTGCGCATTCAGGTGGGGAGGCCTCAACTGAAGGGTCTTTGTCAATCATGGAGGATTACTGCAGTTTGGAGGAGCATGACCCTGCAAAGATTAACCTGAGATTTAGTGAATGTTAGGGGTTTTCTGGAGCTCGAGGCAAGACTCGGCCCCCACGACACGGCTGCCTGGATTGCTGGGAGAGGCCAGCTTTGCACCGAAGGAAGACAGTGTCCGGTAGCAGGAGATGACTGGATGGGGTTCAAGAACAGTCACACCGAGCTTTCAGAGGACTTCCACATCTTGCAAAAAAACCTTGCTTTCTAATGTCACGACACATTCATGAATAATTCTCACTGCCATTTATTTTGTTTGTTTGCAAGGTGAGAGACCTCCTGCTGTTGCATCTGTTGAAGGAATCGGAGCACTACAACTGTGCTCCAGGAGGACGGTGCTATTAGGAGTGGGAGGAGTCAAGCCTGGTGGGAGATGCGGGACCAACAAGCATGTGCCACATCACGGCAGTAGAATGTAATTCCTGCCTGTTGCAACGAGCAAGTAGTTTTGTGGAGGCTGAAAATCAAATTTTATTCTGTGATGTTGCGACAGAAAATAATGTTTCCAGTGCTTTTTGAAATGGGTGGCACACTCATATACTCTTCCCTATCTTTGAGAAATCTTTAAAATCAGAAAGTGAACGCTGGATGGGAAAAGCCTTATAGCATGATTTTCTCCATAGGAAAGTCAGTTCTGTAAGAACAAAAGTTTTGAGTCTTTCGTATCCTGGTGCCCGGCACATGCAGTAC